CAAGGGCGAGGTCTTCCATCCGTAGTTATGAATGCAGTGTTTCGAGGGGTATTTGGTCCCTAGACGACTTACAAGAGTTCATTGATGTGTCACAAGGAGAACCACTTGGTTAAGATGGAGACGTAAGGCTTTTTAGCCTTAGCGTGATCGGAGCCGGGATCTGCTAAGCGTTGGGATGGGGCCTTTAACTGCTCGGCCATTCCCATTCGATTTTTCCCATGAGGATGCTCACAGTATTTTTGGAAATTCTTTCTCAAAATTGATCGTAGCCATTCTCACCTTATCAGTGTTCATTATTTTGAGGACACGTCGTATTTCACGAATCAAATCACCAAGAGGACCGTTTTTGACGAATTCGACTGGACACTGGTTTTCTTCATCCTCACAGAAGCAAGCCTACGAGTTTTAACCATGGCTCATGACTCTAGGGAAGAGATTTCGAGAAAATTGAGAAACTTAACCAACCTTAAATTCGATTTTCTGAAGCCTGTTATCCTTTGGAATTGTTATGGCCTAAAAATTATTGAGGTATGTTTACTCGAAAATAAAAGCTGACAAAGTATGTAGTATCAATTAAGAATCTGTCAGAACTTCTTCTTGGTTCCTAAGCATCCCTTTCCATGTTGATACAAATAAAAGAATTGCGAGAAAAAGATTAAAGAAAAAAGAAAGAATTGCGAAAAATCAGAGAAAGACGTTCTTTTTTCAAGATGTAAGACTGTCCATAAGGAATGTTTCACAATTCTACTCAGGGCTATTTCTCCTACGATCCCATAGGAGTGCTCGATTCATAGCGAAAAACTGTCATGAATGGCAAAACTATAAGACAGCACAAAGCCGAAAGAATCCCACTCGAAATCTCATGAACGTGGCCAAAGCTCGCGACTTTCCTCGGGCTTCTCAGCTCATAAATCCCACCCCCAATATGTGGCAGAATTAACAGAGATGATGTGGATAAAGGGTGAAGGATAAATTCTTGGGTCGTCAATCAATTCCGTCTCAGAGATGCGCCCTGCATCCGACTTTCATTCAGAATCGTAGTGGCGTATGTGGCCGATACAGAGAATTGCGGTGGCCAGCCGATGTACAAGTCAAAGCTTTTATTTTTCCAAACGGGTCTGCTACCAACCCAGGTGAATGGAGGCTTGCGTGGCCTAAGCGGTTACCGATCCGGGATTTGAACCCGTGACCATGCGTGTGTGACAGTGTGCCACTTACCACCCTCGTACCGATGATGTGGATAGAGACATGAATAAGCTCAGCTACTACATATCAGGGGCTGAAAGCCTGTACTTGAACAGTTCACTGATTGCCTAGGCAGACCGAGTGTTCATAGTTTTCTCGATATCAAGCATTTACCGCGAATACCTTTCTATTCATCAGTTACTCTCATATCAGAACCAACAATAGGGGGAAGGGAAGGAGGGCGGGGCTCGTCAAGGAGGGCGGGGCTCGTGATGGGAATACGTCTACCGACGGTTTGAACAACTGTTTTTAAGGTGACTTTTTGTGGCAATGTTGAACGGGACTAGTAAAGTGAAAAGGAAAAGAGCTGCTTGAATCATGCACAGGCCTGATGTTCACGAATCCGCGTGCTGACCCCTTTTTTTGCCTACACTCGATACAGGGAACAAGCTGACTATCCCAGTGAGTGTATTAGCACTCCTCCGCTCAGTAAATGAGCCAATTCAGCTCCTGAACAGTCACTGTTGGACGAGTAGCGATGAGACTCTTAGGTGTCAAGGATTATAATTGGAAAAAAGTGTCCGAAAGTGTTTCCTCTAGAAGATCAGACTACATACCGTAATTGAGTCATCCTTCAGTGCCTCTATGGAGTAGTGCGATTCCAGATCGAAACGGCTAAAATAAGCGGCTCGTTCAGGGAAGAGCGCTCGCAGAGCAAGTACCGTTTCACAGCGGTACGGTAGTCGACATGCTTCGTTGGGGCAAATAGGTGGTGTATCTGTAAATAACAAGCTTCAGTTCCGTTTATACTCGGTGAGGTTGCAAGTCTATAAGGTCAGCTCAGGTCCAAATGAGATAGTTCGGGCAGAGAGGAGGCGAAGGACGGCAGAATACAGCAACCATCCAGCCGCAATAAATAACTATGTTTCGGGAAGGCAACTGACTTCAACTTCGCCGAGTATAGACGCTTAGGCTGCTTTCATGATCCACGATTTGGCGAGCAAGAGCGACCGATGGCGCCATCAGTCGCGCGAACGGTCACGCGACTTGTCGCTCGGTCTCTCGCTCGATAGGTCCGCGACTGGTCCGATCGGTCGCTCGCCAAATCTTGGACTATGAAAGCACCCTTACCCGAAAAAATTAAAACTTACTGCTATGTTCACATTCATCCAGAGTTTTAGCCAAACAGTTTATGCACACTTCATGTTCACATTCCATTTCTGACGGGAAGTTTCTCAACACCTCACCCTCACAGTCTGGCATTCCCGAGCATGGCGTTTTGATCTGAAACATCCCCATCCAATCGAAAACGTGAGCATGGAAAGCTGAAGGGAATCGGTACCACTGGCGAGCAACGTTTCCCTTTTCGGGCTTTTGAGCCGCCTTTTTGAAGACATTTTCCTGGAGGGCAGGTGCCTTTTCCTTCTGTCCATTTCTTTGCACACGGTTGACACATGTACACCTAGACGACCACATTGATTTTATTGATCCTTCTCAATTGATTCGAGTATAGTAAAGTTGGCCACGGGGTTGTGGGCGCTGCCGTCGCCAATGAAATCTCGTCGGAATCAAATGGCCGCGCTTGCGGCAACTGGTAGGCCCAATGCCGAGCCTGTGGGGTTCTGTGGGGATGAGCAAAAAGTTATGAAGGATAGACCCACCTGACAGCATGGTAGAGCTACCATAGTTTCGATTTCATAACTGGCATGACACGGTCCTTCACATGGTTCCAGCTCATCTTCTTCGTTAAGAGCTGCTCCACATTGCCCTACTGGACACTGGCCGTTGTTGCTGAAAAAAATAGAGCTCACAATATCTCCA